AGAAAGAAAAGAAAAAAGAAGAGTAATAAACATTTTCATTGTAACACTGAAATATTGAAATGAGCATCTATCTATGAGAAAATCAAACCGACGAAATCTGAAGGGAATTCACATGTGTTTGTAAGCTACTCGTTAACACACTTCTATGGTGTCTCGAAGTAAACCGAAAATTTCAATCGAAATCGTGCACCGTTCAAAATTCATGTCGAGCCAAACAATTAACTATGAATGAAAATTTCCTGATAAATTTCGATATATCTCTTGAATTTGAACACTGCCATTAAAGCGTGATGGATCTTTATCGATCAAACTTGCAGAGGTGACGACATATGTGAGGTGAAGAGTGAAGAAACTGGCGAAGTAGCATTTGTTGATTGTCAAATTGGTGGTATGAACGAGACGACAATGGCGGATCAAGATGAGTTATTGACGAATATGACCGCTGAAAATGTTACGATTCATTGTTCGAAGACTGAATTCGGTTGTTGTCCAGATTGGGCGACGCCATCTGAAGGAGCCGACAATGCGGGATGCCCAACATTTGTTCTAGGTAAGATAGAATTCTCATATTTTCAATACGTTGATCACTGATTATTTTGTAGTGAACAATGTTAATTTGAAAATGCAAACTGTTCATTTCAAGAGGCTCATAACGTGACAGTTAACGGTTTTCTGTTTGAAATAAAAGATCCTTGATTGGGTTCAATTTCCAGAAATTCGATTTAGATTCCCATGGAATTTTAAGAGCTATAAATGCGCAAATAATTATTGAAATACTCATAGTCCTTCATCATGTATATGACCATTAGGATCTATCGTCATATATCGATGATTGGTTATAAGTTCAACGGAATCATTACAGTTGAAATAATTGTCATATTCAGGCTCATGCAATGATACGGCGTATGGTTGTTGTCCAGATGAGGTCACAATGGCCAGAGGTCCGAACTACGAGGGATGTGGTGAACCATCATGTGCAGCCTCGTTGTATGGATGTTGTAAAGATCGTAAAACAATCGCATTCGGTCCTCATTACGCAGGTTCGTCTAATCGCATTCCAATTAGCTTATCAAGCCACCATCTGATCGTTATGATGTATCCCCATTTTCATTTATTTCACAGGAAAAGACTTTTTTTGAAATAGTAATTTAATGAACCAATGATATTGAAGTATTCTTAAGTATTGTTGATTGCTCTGTGAAATAATCGCCATGTCGATCAGTTTTTGTCAATGTGATTTGTGATTTTTGCTTAAGGTTGTGAACGATCATCGTTCCCATGTGAGTTGTCCTCGTTCGGATGTTGCCCAGATGGCGAGACTGCAGCATTGGGCGAGAACGGTACCGGATGTGGTTCAGACTGTCTCGTTTCCAAACATGGGTGCTGTCCGGATGGTGTGACTCCATCGAAGGGTAGCAGCAACGAAGGTATATTTTCTCATGCAATACAATCTTGCCCGTCCTGGTTTAGAGATGAATGACGTTATAAAGTTATTCATTGTCTACTTTTTAGGATGTGGTTGTAAATACGCGCAATTCGGTTGTTGCCCAGATGGCAAGAGTTCAGCGAAGGGACCAGGCTTTTACGGTTGTCCAGAAACATGCGCTCAAAGTCAGTATGGATGTTGTCCGGATGGTAAAACGGCCTCAAGAGGACCGAACAAAGAAGGTAGCAAATTGATCTGCTAACAACCTCTACAAAAATGTCTGCATAAATTACCTAAATTCTCTAAGACAACACGAAATTCATTGCGTTTTCAGGTTGTCCTTGTCAATACACGAAGTACGGTTGTTGTCCTGACGGTGAAACTGCCTCGATGGGACCGAATAATGAAGGATGTGATGACTGCAGATATGCTAAGTAAGTTCAGATGAATGCTTTTATTTCAGCGAATTCCATATCCATATTTAAGAAATCGTTATGTGCGCAATTAAATATTCAAGTTTCTTAATGTTTCATGAAATGAGAAAGTTTCATTGACCGAAAAACATGCACTGAATTCATTTGTGTCCATCTTCCAGACATGGTTGTTGTTCGGACGGCGAAACGAAAGCCACTGGACCAAACTATGCGGGATGTCCTTCAACTACAGTGGCTCCATTCCTACTTGGTGGCACTGTGGCTCCTGAGAAGATTTGTACGATTGTTTTTTATTGTTG